CGGCAGCCCACTAGGCGGGACCCCGGGGGCCCGAGTGCAGTGTTAAGTAGTAATGTACATTTGGTGGTGAGTCGTGGTGATGGTTAGTAGTAGTAGGTCGTCAGGTTAAACATCCATAAAATGCAAGGAAAACAAAGTCTCGTGCGGGAATCCGAGGGGAGAGCAATGAGAAATGGCCAGGAAGGGAGAGCTCATTGCTCCTTGCCGAGTGCGACCTTGGCCTTCTTCGCCTCTGCGGCCTTGACCTCCAACAGAGGGTCCAACTCGGATTGTGGCTGGCGATACGAGTCGCCCATACGATCTGCCCAAGTGAAGTACTATAACTAGGAGTCAAAACGCCGCAAGAAGCAGTAATAATGTGAACGGAACGTACCTGACCGTAGTTCACGGTGAAGTAGATGTGGTGCAGCGTATGGTGAGCAGGGCCGTTGATGACCTTCTCCAGCGGGTGGCCAGTGATCATGTCAGAGTCGTGGATGAGGATCGTCCAGAAGTTGACGAAGATGAAGAGGCCGAGATAGAGCTTCCGGTGGAGAGGGAAGAGGTAGATGAAGAGGTGATAGGGGACGGATTGTGCGTAACCGTCAAGAGGGTGGAACGCATGCGATGCGAAGGGCGTGGGGACTGCAACACGTTGGTCAGTACCCGCTTTGACGAGGATCTCAAGAGCAAGGACTTACTGATCCACTTGTGGTGCGGCTTGTGCAGCCACTTGTAGCAAATGGGGTGGTGCTCCCACCGGTGAATCCAGTAGATGCAGTAATCTGTGAAGACCAGGAAGCTAACGTGCCTGTTAGCCTCAAGCGAGTAATGTCATGAAGTGTACGACTCACAAGAATATTGAGAAGAAGAAATAGCCCCAGCCGTAATCTTCCACGTTGTCGTACAGCTTCGAGTATCCTCGAATCTCTCCCATGAACCACGGCAGAGTGAGGAGGATCATGAGAGGGAACGCCTTCAAGCTAGACTGAATCTCCAGCTTGATCTGGTTTTTAAGGAAGCGAGGATGCTTCATCATCTCATGGTTGAAGATGTACTTGTAGGAGAGGTAGGCGAAGAGGAAGTAGAGGACATGGATGCCGACAAGAGTGAGCGTAAAGACGGAGATGATCTGTCGGGGCAAGTAGTCCCGCGGCCAGGCCGAGGCAACGGTCTCGGAAGCGACGAGGGGTGAGGTAAGCAGCTCGTCTGGGAGCGGAGGATGGGGTATGTGTGAGATGAGCTGAGACCAGGCGGAAGAGTGTGAGGAGACGACAGGGACGTGAGAAGAGGTATTGTATAGGCCGGCCGCATTCGAACTGGCAGTCGTGAACGCTGAGACCGGGAGAAGACGAGCCCACGCCCGGTCGAGAATGAGGTCGTCGGCGACGTGGAGGATGATGTCCATGGCGGTGGGGGGTGGCGAGGGCGGCCGCGCAGGACTTTTGGATGGCGGCGAGGGGGAACAGGAGCCGCACGAAATCTGGTAAGCCGGCGAGGACGGGCAGCAGCGGTAGGTCGAGCTGCGAGGTTTATATTCCAAGCGCGCACCTCCAAAGTCGTCCCACCTCGCTCAATTTTGACACATGCCTCCCGCCCATGTGATCAGATCCCATCTCCCCTCATCTAATCTTATCTCGGCTCCGCCCCCCACCGCAGTTTCCCCGCCAGGCTCATTCCACTCACGCATCCCCGTCTTCCGACCCATCCGAGAGCTTTCCAACTGCCAAACTTCTCTGTTGAACAGCAACATTCGCCGTGCACCCCGGGGCCCAACGCACAGGATTGTCCCTGAGGATTGCCATGTCCAGCGGTCGAGGAGGGGCGCAACCAGCCACCCCCGCGTCTATCCCGAAGGTCTGGTTGCGGCCGGACTGGCCGACCCCCGTACTCTATTCAGCTCACGTCAGATCACGAATTGTTGCTTGGGCCGTTGTACTGTACGAACCACCCCATCGTACGACCTCTTGCTATTGTTGGCACCTCCATCGTGCTCCAGGCGCGGTTTGCAGGGTGGCCTTCGAACACCGAGCGCTGTCGTTCGGTCTCGTCGCGATCAGAGAAGCTTTCCTAGAGTGCACTCGAGCGGGCTCGTCTTCGCTATCTGTCTTTGTTCTATCACCGCGTTGTACCGCCCTGATCGTCGACGAAGCACAGGTCGCACAGTGAGGAGTCAAGACGAGTAGAAAAGCAAGGATGTGGGGGACATGTGAGGAGCGTTGCGCACACGAGGCGCGAAGAGTTCATCTGCAGTCAGCTAGCGCTACGTCATGCGCCATAGCGGCGCGCTATCCAGCGCCACCCCTATCCTCAACGTCTTCTTGCTGACTACTCGCTGCACAGCTCCTGCCCGGTGTCCAGGATGCAATTCATTTAGGTCATTTACCATCCGCTTGGCATGAGAGCGCATCTACCGATTGCGACAAAGGCAGGACTCCTGATCACAGCTTCGCGATAGATGATGCCTTGCGCCCGTTCATCCAACCGCTGGGCTGGTACGCTCGCTAGGCCTATGAGCGGCGCATACGTATGGCGGGGACCCGGCGGCACGCAACACGCAAAAATTTACCAGTAATAACCACCGGTGTGCTTCGAGAATCTTAGCGTACATGCCCTTGCCAGCCAATCTGCCTCACCGGTCGACCGTCGACCTGATGATGTACACTTGAAACGCCCCTTCCCCCGTCATGTCTGAAGCGTCAAGCCTCAGGCCCGAGACCTAATCCTGGTACCGTTCCAAGCACAAACTCGGACATCCGCAGATCAGATGTGTGCGAAATCATCCGTGGCCTGTAATTGTCCCATGCACGGCAAGAAACTCTCAGCATCAGCATCGGGCACGCAGGCAGTGCAGCAGCAGCAGCAGGAGAAGGAGGAAATGACGGACCTTGACGAGCAACTTCGCGATGCCGGGCTCGCGCGAAGAGTGGCCCGCATCGGGCACAATGTGGAGCGTGAGCTCGGGCCAGACCTTCTTCAGGTCGTACGCTGTCGTCGCCTGGTGCAAGTCCGTCAGAGGGCCGATGTCGGCCGTCGGCCGTAGAGTGGAGGAGGTTGACTCACCGGACAGACGACGTCGTACCGTCCCTGTACGACGACGCACGGGATGTGCCGGCTAGAATACGATAAGTTGGTGAACCAATAGGGAGGGAACGCGGTCGCTCACATCTTGTCGATCTCCTGCTTCTCGAGCAGCTGGCCGTCGCGCATGAAGCCCTGTACATGACACTCATCAGCTATTGGTGCGCGCACGAGGGTGACATCAGCGTACGTCGTTGACGAAGTAGTGATTCTCTATTCTGGCGAACGCGCTGGTGTATTCTTGTCAACACGCACTCTTAACTCATATCCCGATATCGAGTGCGCACTTTGCAAAGTCGTTCTTCTCCGCCTCGGCAACGTGCGCCGGGTCTACGTACAACTTGGAGGTAAACATCCTGCACACGATGAGCGATGGCACTGCGATTTTAGTCCCACTTATTGCACTCACTCCCACTTCGTCCACGCGCGAGCGGCGCGCAGGCGAGTCTCCTCGTCCACTGAGTTGAGCTGTGCATGGTATGCGGTGACGATGTCGTGGCGCTCCGTCTCCGGAATAGGCGCAACGAACTCTTCCCTGTATTCCTCTCTCCTCAGAACGATCACCCAGAGAGGTTATGAGTTACATACCAAGCCTCAGGGAAGAGATGGGATGTGCCCTCTTGGTAGAAGAACCGGAGTTCACTGTTCGATGTCCGCGATTAGGCCGAGGACGTATGAATCAAGCGGGATACGCTCGCCTCTTGCGCAAAGTGAAGATGCCTCGGAGGACGAGAGTCTTCACCCTGTCAGGGTGGGACTAGACATGCGCATCCGTCAGCCAATACCCGCATCCCGAATTTTCGCGCGACTGACCTGGGAATAAGCGAGCGACAGCGTAGAGCCCTGCGAAAGGTGTGTCAAAGGTGCCGAGATGGTTCCCGTACGTGCCACCGTCTGAGCTTACCCAAGAGCCTCCGAAGACGTGCCACTTGTCGATCCCGAGATGTTCGCGGAGCCTCTCGATGTCCTTGACCAGGTCCCACGTAGTGTTCTCCTCGAGCGACGCAGTCCTACGGCCCCAAAAACTGGCTGAGCACACCTATACGAGCGTCCTACGGCATGTACGCACGGTGTGGATTTGCCCGCGCCCCGCTGGTCGAAGAGGATGATCTACCGACGGGCATCGAGGTAAGCGGATCGCCACCACACAACGAAAGCATCGCCTAACCTTGTACTTGGTCGGATCGAAGAACGAGCGGTCCTTGGCGTCACAACCGCCGCCCGGTCCACCTAATCGCAGCACCGCGCCCACAGCAGCGATAAGCCACACCCATTCCCCACCACAGCGCACAACGCGAACACACCGTGCAGGAAGACGACTAGTTCGACAAAGAGTTTACGTTACATTCTGATATCGCGCCGCTCAAGACCGACATATTACGCACCAGGCGTCCCGTCCTTGTTCCCGCTCAGCTCATAGCTGCGGAAGCGGTACTCAGCTCGCGCCTTCGGGCCCCACACATCGCAAGGGGTGTTGCGAGAGATCGGAGACGTACTACAGCGTATGCAGGTCGGAGACCTTGAGCTTGCCCGTCTCGTACGGCTCGATCGGCGGGTACATGTTCGCGGGCCAGGTGCTGAGATTCCTGCGGCGGTAGATGGAATAGGTGCCGATGCTTGCTTGTCTTGCGCCTTGCAGACTCGCCCTGTTCTGTATCCAATAAGACAAACCGCGAGCTCCTGCGAGTCGCGAGGTAGAGAGAGTAAAGAGAGCAAGCGGACGGAGCCCAGGGACGAGCTGTCTAGATAGTGCTGCCATGTCCCTCGTGCTCAATTATAGCAACCGTCCTCGTATCCGTGTGCATCCAATCGATTCCCTCCCGTTACACGCTCGTCTTTCCTCCCTTCTGCAAAACGCGATGAATATGTTACCGGGAGACCAATCGATTACCGGGCGGATCTTGATGTAGCCAGGAGATGAGGTAAAAAGACAAAACATATGACGAGAGTGGGATTCGAACCCACGCCCTTTCGGACCAGATGTCAAGTGACGCCTGAAATCAGGCAGTACCTTAGTCTGGCGCCTTAGACCGCTCGGCCATCTCGCCATGAGTAAGTAGTGCACAGTATTGTCTATGAGCAATTGGCTATTATCCTGCCTCCCCATGATCCTGCACGTCCTGAGCTGACGTCTAGTATCAATATTAATACCCCTTCAAGCAATCCCGAGGAACTGCAGGTATTGCTGCTCAAACAGAGGCATGGTGTGACCGACGCCCTGTGCGAGGATGGCCTGGAACATAGGACCGAACGTCGCGTTCGAATACCCGGCGGGCAGGTACGGCTCGGACGCGTTTGAGATCGGCGTGCTCAAGTAACCTAGTACGGTCGTCCACTGCTTGACCTCCTCGAAGAAGTTCTGAGGGTATAGTGTGGTATCACTGCGAGAGGTCATCTTGTTCAGTCCTGAGAGTGCAGGTACAGATGACGAAGGGCGTACGCAGTTCCGTGCCAGACTTGCATCTTAGGGCGATTGCCAGTATAGCCGGGGTACGCATCATAGACTCTCCGGGCCTAACATGCATTGACAGTCAATCTATACAATCGTAAAAAATCGTAGACTCTCTACACACCCATTCCTGGCCAGTCAGTATGAGCTGGCCCTCAGAGCACTGCGAGTTCCAGCTATCGTCAGGCTGGCCAGGGACAGCAAAGCATCCAAATGCAACGCCGGAGTCGATAATACCCGCCTTGAAGATGTCGGGGTAAGCACCAGCAAGGACACTGGTCATCATCGCGCCCGAGGAAGTGCCAACGGCGAAGACGCGGTCAGGGTCGACACCCCAGTTTGCGATCGCGTAGCGCGCGGCCGATACGATCCCGAAGGAGTCGCTGCCGCCGTTGTGCGTGAGTGTCTCATCGGAGGAAACGTCCCAGCAGGTACCAGAGTGAGGCTAGAGCGACAAGAAGGGTCAAACCTTGCCTCATTGAAGCGCAGGGCAAAGTGGCCAGGAAGCACTTACAGAGTTTGGGTAGAGCACGACGTAGCCGAACGTCTAAGCAAGCTGAGCAAATTTCGAGCCCATGTAGTACGCTTGAGCGGTACCAGAGCAGTCTAATAATCAATCAGGGACGCTTTCAGTTCCCATTACTAGAACGACGTTTGAGCGTAGTGGCTTGCAGTGACTTGCGACGATCAAAGCAGGCTTCGACGCGACCCGCGCAGGCTTGTATACGAACATGCCGATGTTGTTCGGGTTGTCACCAAAGTTCGCGATTTGGTGGAGTGTGGAAGCGGGAATAGAGCTAAGACCAGTCGGAGCGGTACTCGTGGGATTGCTGCTTGTCGGTGAAGTCGGGACTGATGTAGGCGGAGGAGTGGTAGAAGTGTTAGGGAGACATTGGGAGAAGTAGTCGTTCAGTACTACACAGGTCGTTCCGGCCACTGTGAATGGTGAACGTGTATCAATATTCGCGGCCCAAGGTGATGGCTATTTGACCGACTGACCACAGATAGTAGGGCCAGTGTAGTTAATACCGCCGCATTGGCCCCATTCTGCAGCCTGGCCAGCAGCCAGGCCGCATGTCGTGATCCACCGAGGAGATCGATGCCTGAAGAGTATTCTGAGTATCAACAGGACATAGAACCGAGCTAAATACCTGGCCGTACAGGAGGGTCGCCGGTACGCAAACGCATGGACGAGATGAGTAGCTCCGATCCGGTCACACGCTGGCTGCCTCGTCTTGATATGATAACAGAAGGCCTGTAGTAGATTCACCCGCGAAAGCCCCGCCAGGAGGGAGATGAGAGCCGTCGTTTTGCCAGCGCAGCAGCGCATGCTTGGCAAGTTGATCATGCGTGTAGAACCATTTCTGCCATGGTGAGCAGGTTAGGATGATACAAACAGCGTGTATACAGCACATGAACGAGAAGTATTGGCAGAGAAGCCATAGCGGCGAAACAGTCGCGTCCGCAATTTGCCCGAAGCAGTTCTCAATATTAAAGCCAAGCAAGACTTCCAGATATTATGTCCCGTGTATCCTTACATGATTCTCGAAGCTCTGAGATCTAGGAACAGGCCCACCTTCGGAATCGCAACCCGTTTGTTCCCCTAGGCCGGGCGCGTAGGCATCCTGGCATCCTGCTAGTGATTTTTGTTCGGAGACAGTAGATGTCAGTCAAGATGATCTGAGTAGAGGATGGGCTTGTTCTGGTCGGATGGCCCTGTGGTGGTCAGAGAGAGAAAAGCTGAAGCGGTGCAAGCGCGAAAGGATTGATCTCGTGCACCCAAAGCGGAAGTTGGCTTGCCTTTTGTGGCGGAGAGAAAGGAGATGATGTCACCGTGGACTCTGCCACGGTAGAGTTGTGTGCGTTGATTGGAGAACCAAGAACGCGCAGGACGTCAGAAAGCGTATATATACCCCACTGTCCAGTACCCAGACGAACACACAACAAAGCTCTGCTCCACGCCGACCATCATGTCCGCCCACAAGAACCTCATCCGTCTCAAAGCCGCTACACAAGAGTATGATTGGGGAAAGTCGGGCAGCACTTCGCTTGCGGGGCGGTTGGGGAAGAATGCAATCGGTCATGGCTTCCAGATAGATGAGAGCAAGTCATACGCAGAGGCGAGTGAACGCGTCAAACAAGCATTGCACACGGGACTAACCCATGGGTAGATATGGATGGGCACTCATCCTAACGGTCCTGCGCATCTCTTCGATGACCCTTCCACCTCTCTTCTCTCGCTCATTTCCTCAGACCCTACCTTCTACCTTGGCGAGGCTCTTCGTAAATGGCCATCTACCGTGCACATCCCGTACCTCTTCAAAGTGCTCTCAATCAAAAAGGCGCTCCCCCTCCAGGCTCACCCCGACAAAGGCCTTGCCGAGCAGCTGCAGTTGAAGGACCCCTCCAATTTCGTTGACCCGAACCACAAGCCAGAGATCGCTGTAGCAATTGGGGAGCCATTGAAGGCCACGGGTGCGGGGACAGAAGATGGCTACGTTCATGTTGGGGACGAGGACACCGCCTTCACCGGGTTCGTGGGTTTCCGCCCGCTGGAGGACATCAAAGTCTCTTTGCAGAAGGTGCCCGAGCTCGCGCATGCTATCGGCGACGCCATGCTTGTTGCATCCTTTACACAAAATCCTTCCACTGACACCCTCAAGCGAGTTTACGGTACGCTCCTGCGACGTGGTGTCGAAGCTCGTGACGAGGTCGCGGCCGCGATCTCGAAGCTTGAGCAGCGCATCAGAAAGGGAGGCAGCCTCGGTGTGCCTGATGGCGACGAGCTCGCGCGACTAGTCCTCAAGGTCAACGCCCAGTACCCCGGAGATGCTGGGGTGCTTGCTACGGCCTTCTTCATGAACTTTGCGAAACTCAAGAAGGGCGAGGGCATTTATATCGGGGCGGACGAAGTACACGCCTACCTAGAAGGAGGTGAGCTAACGTCCATATCTATCTACAGCACGCAAGACGTTCTGCTTGACTCATCGTGTTGGCAGATATCATCGAGTGTATGGCTATCTCTGACAACGTGGTAAACGCCGCTTTCGACGCGCCAGAGTCGCTCGCGTCGCAGGTCAAGACCTTCGTTGAGATGCTCACCTACACTGCTCGCCCCGTATCACACTGGGCCCTTCCGCGCGAGGCATACCCGCACTCCTGCGAGGGACGCACGTCAAAATACGACCCGCCCATGGAGGAGTTTGTCGTCCTGGGCACTATGCTCGATAGCAAGAGCGCGAAGGAAGAGCGCCTGGGCGCGGTCAAAGGCCCCACGATCGGTATTGTGACGAAAGGCAAGGCGAGGCTGACCGTCAGCCGAGGCCACGAGCAGCTGGAGTTGGACGAGGGAGGCGTCGTGTTCATACCGCCTGGAAACGACATCCACGTCGAATTGCTGGAGGGACGAGGCGCAGAAGGGGCGGGAGAAGTGTGGTGGTCGTGTTTCGGAGCGTGAGGGAAAGGAACCTACACCGCGCGCTGTATCCCACTGTACGACATCGGGTCATGTAGCATAGTCGCGCACATATATCACTAGCATATACTTCAAGCATCCACCGTTAGAATACACGCATCCGCTACGCACGTACAACTCGACTCTAGCTTGCTGAACAGATGTCACAAACATCGCACACGCCTTCGCAGGGCCCACGCCTCAGACGTAGAGCCACTTTCCACGGCCCGACGCCCACTGCGGCAGCTCGCTCACGTCGACAGACTCGAAGCGGCGGCGGATGGAGGGCTGCTGCGACTCCCCAGCGCCGTTCGGATCGGGGGTCGCTGGGGGCGAGAGCGGCGGGGAAGCGTCATCCTCTCCGTCAACCATGATGGGGTCGTAGGGGGAGAGGATACCCATGCCGGAGCCACCGACGGCCGTCACATATGGCCGGTAGCCTTGAGCTTCAAGGGCAGAGATGAGAGCCTGGAGTGCGTCGTCGGCGAAATCTATGTGGCGAATCAGCGAGTGAGTACAGAGTTACAAAGATGCGTCGAAGGAGACATACCATCCGGGACGAGAGTGACTGCGCAGCCACCGCCGCCTGCACCTGTCAACTTAGTGCTCAGGCGGTAAGGCGAATCGGCCGTAATAGCGCGGATGGACTCCAGCGCGGGGTGCGAGACACCGAGCGAGACGAGATGAGCGTGGTTCTCATCAATGAGAGCCTACAAACGGGGGATTGTTGAGCAAAGCGATGAGCATATGAGCATCCGCAAGTACGCACCGCCAACCCAGACAGGAGGGTGCTGCGCGGGACCTCAGGGTCCGCCAGCGCACGCCTGGCCTCGTTGCTAATAGTCTGAATCGCATCCAGGAGCTGCCCAACCAGCTCCGGCTCCGCCATCTTCTTCCTCGCGACACCCGCAACGAGGGCCTTCGTGTCCCGAGGCACCTTCGAGTCGACGAGCAAGAAGCGGAGGGAGCGGAAGCCTTGGATCTGCTCCATCCCGCTGCGCTTCCCGAACCCAGGCCGCACGTACGCGAGCGCGCCGCCGAAGACGGCGACCGAGTTATCGACCCCGCTCGGGTTGCCGTGCAGGACCTTCTCGGCGATGAACGCCCACCGGTTCGCCTCTTCCGCGATCTCGGGTGGGATGGCG